CGGGCCTGGGGCAGCCTCTCCTTGGGCGCTGTATCTTGTCCAGGAACTCTGAGGAGTCAAAACCCCTAAATTCACAGCTGGAGTCCAGGGCATTGGAAAGGTCGTGTGTCAGGCAGGAGGCTAGAACACATGTCATTTAACCGTTTGGCAGCTTGAAGACATATGAAATGTGAGCCTCCGTTGATACTCTTATTCTGGGCCCCACAAATGGAGGGCGAATGGATGTGGGCCCACCAGGGTGTTAGCTCTAGCGGGCAATGTGGTGAGGCGGTGAAGCGTGTGGTGCTGGGCTCAGCAACCTGGGCTCAAATCCCACTGTGCCCCTTGTTAGTTATTGACCTTGGCCTGGTGGCTTTACCTATCTGTGCCTTGGTTTCCCCATCTATAAAATGGGAGATCATTGTACTATTTTCTGCTCACACAGAACACTTCTGTGACTAGATGTGTGGGTTTCCCACACCAAGCAATTCTTTAATTCTCTGTGACACCAGCTGGGTGCTCTACACTTTGGTTCAGTTCTGACTCTAAATTTACCTGGAGACAGTCAGATTCCACAGGATAGGGGCTCAGTCTTGCAGGACTGCCCCCTACTTCAGACACCAATCGCAAGTAGTGGGCCCCCAAGTTAACCACACTTCTGTCTGACTTGGCTACAAATAGGGGTTCTCACTTTTGGTAATTTGTTATAATGGCTCACAGAACTCAGGGAAACACATTTACCAGTTTATCATAAAGGCTATTACAAAGGATACAGATGAACAGCCAGGTGGAGAGGTACGTAGGGCGAGGTCCAGAAGGGTCCCAAACGCAAGAAAGAGCTTCTGTCCCCACGTATCTCCCAGTACATGGATGTGTTCAGCAACCCGGAAGCTCTCTGAATCCTATACTTCAGGGATTTTTATGGAGGTTCCATTATACAGGCATGATCATCATTAACTCAATACCTAACCCCTCCCCCCTCCCCAGAGGATGGGGGTTAGGGGGATGGGACCCATAAAATGTTGCCTCATTAGAATAAAAGACACTCCTGTCATTCAGAAAATTCCAAGGGATTTAGGAGCTCTACATCAGGAACTGGGGTCAAAGACCAACTATCAGAATAGTAGCTGCTCCTAGCACCCCTAGCACTCAGGAAATCACAAGGGTTTTAAGGGCTGTGTGCTACATAAAACATATAACTGCAAAGTCAAACCAGCTTTCTAAGCAGTACCCTGCCCCCCATGGCAGGCAGAGTAAAGAAGCAGTCTCTAAAATTCTAAATCAGGTCACATAGATCTTATCTCAAAGCCCTCCCATGGCTCCATCTTACTTGGGAGTAAAACTGTGGCCTATGTGACCCTACAAAACTGGCCTCTATCACCTCTCTGCCCTCATCTTCTCCCACTTGTCCCCTCTCTCCCTCTTCTCCAGCCATGGTGACCTCTCTGCTGCTCCTCCAACACTTCAGGCAGGCCCCTGAATCAGGGCCTTTGCAGTGATTGTTCCTTCTGCCTGAAACACTGTTCCTTGAGATGCTCACATAGCTGATGCACTCTCATCCTTGAAGTTTCAGCTCAAATGCCACCTCCTCTGAGAAGTCCTCCCTGACCACCCCCATGAAAGGAGCCACCTCTCCAAGTCTCTCTCTTTTATAATACCCTGTTTTCTTTTTTAAAAAGTATTTGCCAGTATCTTATATCATCTTCTCTATTAATCACTTCTTTGTTTCCTGTCTGTCTTCCTCTTGACAGAATAGGAGTTCTCCAACGGTAGGCCCTTTGTTTATTTTGTTGAAAAATAGACAAAAATCCCTGGAGAAAGACATAAGTATTACAATGAGATGCAATGATAACTTACTTGTAAATTATTACAGGTAACTTCCAGTATGTCGGAAGGTAATACAGCTTTTTATTTTCTGGAGGTAAATAAAGCTGGGAAGGAGGCAAGAGAGTACAGTGGGCTGTTATGCTTTAAGACAGGGTGGGCAAGGATGCTCTGGGGCAGAGAACTGAAGAAGATGACAGAGGAAGTCATATAGACACAGGAGAGAGAGCGCCAGGCAGAGGCAGCAGCCAGTGTAAAGGTCCACAGGTTGGAACGGTGCCTGGCGTGGAGCTGGAGCAGAGAGAGTGAGTGAGAGGACGTGAGAACAGAGAAGTGACAAAGGCCTGTTTCTAGGGCTGCACGGGCCATGGTGAGGAGTTTGGATTTTATCTGAGTGTGCGAGGGAGCCATGAAAGGGTTCTGAGCAAGGAAGGGACAGGATCTGGTCTGTGATTTTAAAGGACTCATCAGATGCACATGGAAAGTGGATCATAGAGGCAGAAGCAGGGGAACCCAAAGAGGCTGGTGTCTGGGCAGGGCTGCCTGACAGCCCATGTACTTGTGTTCCAGGTGAACGGATCCCAGGCCAGCCTGCCCCTGGCCCTGGCTGGAGGTGTGCTCCAGGCCTTCTTCATGTCTTCGGCCACCACAGTCCAGGCAGCCTCTGGCCTCTCCATGACCTTTCATGAATCTCTGGGTAAGAGTGCCCGAGACCTATGTTAGCACCCTCTGTAGCCTGAATGGGGACTTTCACATGGGTGCTTGGGATAACTTCGGTGGTTCCAACAACATGTGGCTCTCTGATGCCCATGGCTCAACCACAGGCCTAGGACCTTGCAGCCCACAGGACAAGACAGTCTTACACCAGGCCTTCTGTGGATTGCTGGATGTCTGTGATGGGCCCTACCAGGCCTACAATGAGGCCGTGGAGCCTTGGGTCCAGGTGGAGAACTGTGTTTATGATCTCTGTGCTGCAGGGGGCTCAAGGGACTCTTTGCATGTGGTGCTGGGGAACTATGCCCAGGAATGTCAGCAACGTGGTCTCCCTGTGCGGCCCTGGAGACACCTGGTGGCCTGTGGTGAGCAGGTGTTGCCAGGAGAGGGTCTTTCTCAGCCTGATCTCACCAGCTGGCTCAATGCCACCTCCAGGGTGTTTTCCTAGATCAATGCAACCCAAGTAGAGTAACTGCACACCCTGCCGGATAACTGTCTCCCCTGAGGACCCTTCCAGCTTAAAATACTTCAGTAATAATGACAGCTGACATTGAGTGCTATCAAGTCAGCCGGGATAATCTAGGTTAGTAGACTCTCTGTAGTAACAAACTAACCTGACATCTCCGTGGCCTAACATGACTAAGGATTATTCTCCCTTCTTACATATTCCACAGTATTCTCCAGGACACCATTCAAGTTCACTTCCATCCTGTGATGCCAGCCTGGTAATATGTGTACCCCCACTCTTCAATCCTTCACTTTGGAAGTCACACTCATAGTTCATAGCACTTTGGCCAGAATTAGTCATGGTCCCGCCCATGTGCAAGAGGGGCTGGGATGGCGAAGCATGCGGGCATAAAGTAGCTGTAAGTGACTCTGCCACATGCATTAGCTGATTGAAGCTAAAAAAAATACACTGGGGGTGACTGGTTAGCTCAGTTGGTTAGAATGTTGTGCTGATAACACCAAGGCTGCTGGTTCAATCCCCACATGGGCCACTGTGAGCTGTGCCCTCCTTAAAAAAGAGTCAACTATGCCATTGTAGCATGAAAGCAATATGTAACCAATGACCATGGCTGTTACCTAATAAAATTAAAAAAAAAAAAAAAGAAAGAAAGGAAAAAATGCATTGGCTCAAACTAAGTAAAAATCATGTGACATATCCTAGTGATTCTGGGTCCATGGAATTTCTCTGTATGCCAGTTTGGCTGTTCTTGGTTACCAATAACAGGAAACCACATTAAAACTCACTCAAACAAGTCAAATTTTTAGATTACATAACTGAAAATTCCATGGTGGGATCAGGCATGGTTTGTTCTGGGTGCTGAGGCTGTTTCTCACCCTTTCTCTATAGAGAGTTTGTGGTCCTCTATAGTGTTAGTTTTGTCTTCAAGCTAGCTTTTCTTGTTGTGGCAAAATACTGCAATTTCTAGGCCTCAGATGTACATTCCCCACCATCCAAAGCAAACCCCATATCTTTTCTTCCCCCAAGTACTAAACAAAATCCCCAGGCTTCACTTTGATTGGACCCTACTGAACCAATCATTGTGGTCCAGAGATTGTCTTAGGTTTATCTAATCCTAGCCTCAGGAGCTACAGGTGGGAGTGGTCCCCCCAAATCTCACAGCTGCTCATTGCAGGGACAAGGATATAATGGGAACACACCCCAGTGGGCTCAGGTTCCCAAACCAGTATTTCTTGTTGCAACAATCCTCAAAGAATGTAAATACCTAGGAAGACCTGCCTTCTGAGACCTAAGTTGGTCTGGAAACCACAGGGGTGCATGTGTTTTCCACAAGAGTTCCATTGTTGGCTGTTGGAATACACACAGCCAGTGCCCCTCCCACCCCACCCCTTCCAGGAAGGGAACAGCTTTCAGAATTAGTCACGCTGTCAGCATTCCACACAACAACCCCATTGAATCCAAAGGGCAACCCTGCAGGGTGAGTGCTATTCTTATCCTCATTGTACAGATGGGGAAACTGAGGCCCTGGAGGGAGACTTGCTTGCCTGAGATCACACAATGAGAAGGAAGTGGATCTAGGATTTGGACCTAGCCTTTCTAGCTCTGAGTTCCTTCCCTTTCCACCTGTAGGCCTACTGTGTTCCCCCAAAGTGTAATCTACTTCAGGAGAGTGGGTCACCTCATTCATGTGTTATGGGGCCCATGGTACAGTCACTATCAAAAATGGTTTTCATTCATTCACTGAACAAATATTTCCTGAGCACCTACTATGGCCCGAACCCTGTGCTCAGTGCTGGAGACACAGAGGGAATAGAATAGACAATTGTCCCTCACTTACTGGGCTGACATTCCAGAGGGGAGAGAGACAATAAACATAGCCAATAGGTGTATATTATACAGTATGTCAGAAGGCGATACGTGCCAGTGCCATAGGAAAAAAAATAAAGGAAAAAACAAGCTGGAGGCGGAAAGGGAGGTGGTTTCCAGGTGGAAGCAGTGGTTTTAAATAGAGTGGCCAAGGAAAACCTCATCAAGAAAGCCCTGAAGAAAGGAGATGAGGAAGGGACCCATGCGCACATCTGCAGGAAGAGTGAATCCCTAGAGGGAAGGACAAGTGCAAATATCTGGAGGCCAGGAAGGTACCTGGGGTGTTAGAGGAATAGCAGGGAGTAGTGAGTGAGTGGGGGGCTTATGGGGAGGAGATGATAAGATCGGAGAGGTGACAGGGCACTAGCTGGAGGGGGCTTATGGGTCATGGTGAGGACGTTGCTTTCATCAGGGAATGAGGTGCAGTTGGGGAGGTCCCAATCACGAGGACCCCGACCTGAATCAGGGGCTCATAGGCTCCATCCAGCTGTGTGTGGAAAGCAGGCTGTGGGGGAGGGGCGGGAGCAGGCGACCGGGAGGAGACAGCTGTGAGGTCTGGTAGGAAGGAGGATGGAGGCTGGGACTGGATGGGGCAGTGGGGGTGGGGAATGGTTGGTTCTGAAAATATTCTCTGGAGTCTTATTCCCTCTTCCCACCATGCTGTCTGTTCTTGGGACCCTCAAAGTTATGTGGGACCTTGTTGTCATTTGTCACCACACACACACACACACACATGCACACACACACACACACACGATGTGGAGTCAAACAACCTAGCTTGCAATCTCAACTTTGACAACTGTGTGACTGCTGCTAGGTGACTAAGTCCCTCTGTGTCACAGCTTCCTCCGCTGGGAGAATAATGCCTGCCTAGCAGGCAGTTAAGCCCTGCAGCTGCGTACGCCAGGATTGCCGGGATCATTTGTTGAAAATAGAGACCGTTAGCAACAGTAGACAAATGACTCAGGGATGTACAGGGCTGTGGAGCTGGCTCTCGCTTGGCACAGCATCACCTTTTTGGACACCGAGGTGCAGGGGAAGGGGGATGGGAATGCTGAGAAGTCAGGGGTCCCACTGCCAGCCGGCTGCTGGGTCCGTACCTCTCTATGGCCTTGAGTGCTAGCCAAACTCTTAGAACTGCAGACTCATCTCCCTGCCTCTGCAGCCAGGCAGGAGCCTGCCAGCCCTAGTGCCAACCACAGAGCCTCAGCCACCACTACCCCCCCACTCACCCCCTCCCCCACCCCAGGCCAGAGCTGGGCAGTCAGGAGGGAGGAAGGCACCCACCACTAGGGAGGTGCAGAGCTAGGTAATGAAGGGGTCACAGACGGGGGACTGATCCAAGAAAAGGAAAAAGACATTCTGGGAAGGCAAAAATAACACAGGCTTTTATCTATAAGGAAAAAAGTATATATAATATATATTTAATATATAATATATATTATATACATAAATGTATTACTACCTAAGTTCAATTAAATTATTTAACTTTTAGGTCATCCAATCCTGAATTTACTTTTTCCTCCATTCTTTTGCTGCTGTTCTTTAATCTTGTGCTTTATTATTTCGTGTTAACTTTAATTTTAAGATGTTTGTTGATTTTTCCCAACTTTCATTTTGAATTTTTTCAACTACAGAAAAGTTACATAAACAGTACAGTATAATGAACCCAAATACCCTTTGCAGAGATTCACCGGTTCTTAGTGTTTTGCCTCATTTACTTCATCTCTCTCTATCTGTATCTATGTTTTTGTTTTTGTTTTCTGAGTTTCTTGCATCTCGGAAGTCCCCTGCCCCTTTTTGTGTAGACATTTCCAAAGACAGTCTTCTTCATTGTTAGTTGTCCATCAAAGCATTTTTGGAAGGGAGTCACAAAACTCGACAACCAAGCTTTTCCTCAATTGTGCCTTTTCCTTGG